TAACTGAAGCAGAAATCCCTCCTGCATTTGGGTGGCACCATCCCACAGGCTGGCTTTCCATATGGAATTGAAGCAGTGGGGGGGGGGGGGGGGGCGGGGGGGGGGGAGGAAGAGAATCCTGCAATCCAGGCTTTCTCTTTCCATCTCTTACCCCTCCCCCTAACTCCCTGGCCATCATGTGTTGTTCTGCTCTGCCATGATTGCCTGAAATTTGCGACACTGAGCAACATAAATCTTTTCTCTCTTATTTCTGTCAAGTAATTTGTCATAGCAACAGCAACAAAATATATGACTACCACAAAACCCAATCTTTCTCTTCTCCTTCCACCTCTTGTTTTGCTTATTTATTTTTTGCTGTTTCTGGGACTTGGAATTCAGGGCCTGAGCACTATCCGTGAGCCTCTTTATACTCAATCAAGGCAAGTGCTCTACCACTTCAGCCAAGTTTCACTTCCATCCTTTTCTGAGTAGTTTATTAGAGATTAGAGTCTCACAGACTTTCCTGCCCTGGCTGGTTTGAACCATCATCCTCAGATCTTAGCCTACTGTGTAGTTAGGATTACAGGCTTGATCCACCACTGGTGCCTGACTACCTTCCACCTCTTCCTCCATCTTCCTCTTCCTCTTAGTTCTTCCTTCTCTCCCCCCCCTTCCTTCCTCCTGCTTCTCCTCCTCCTCATCATGCTAAAAAAGTATAGACTTTACCAGTGAATGAGACACTCAGCCCAAGATTGCCATCTCTACTCAATGAAACAAACAGCTGACTTTAATGGGTTGCTGACAATATGCCCCGCACCAACCCACCCTTTGCTTTGTGAACTTGCTAATAAATCCATGAGATAGGTAATAATTATCCTTGTCTTACAGACCAGGCTACTGGAACACACAGCAAATGATTGGCCAAGACCAAGATCACAAAACTTGAATCTTGGCCCCCAAAACATCACAATCCAACTTTAGTCGTGAAGATGAGCCTCAAACCCAGGCAGACTCCTCACCAAACAGAGCCATGTACTTAATCACACCTGTGGGTGTTGTTGATTGCTTGCTACAGGAATGTGAGGGTAGGGGATGACAAAGGCCACACACAAATGGAGTATTATTTGAGGGTGAGCTTTGCAATTGTAAATACCAGGATAAAAGACCCAGCTCTAGGTCTTACTAACTTGTGACATCATAGACAAGTCATTTTAATTTGTTTGCCTCCATTTCTATATCTGTAAAATGGAGATAACCAGAGAAGAGCAGGTTCCCAGCATGATGCAGGTGGCTCATGCCTGTAATCCTAACTATTCAGGAGGCTGAGATCAGAGGATTGAGGTTGAAGGCCAACCTGCAAGGAAAGTCTGTGAGACTCTTATCTCCAATGAATCACCAGAAAGCAAAACTGCAAAGGCTCAACGCAGTTGAGCACTAGCACGAAGCAGAAGAGCTCAGGAACTGTGCCCAGGCCCTGAGTTGAAGCCTGATAACCAAAAACAACAACAAATGGGCAAGTTCCATTCTTGTGTTTAAGATAGTATATTAAGGCTTAGATCTGAGGATTGATGTTCAAAGCCAGCCTAGGTTTTGAATCCATCTGACAGATTTTTCTCCAATTAACCTGCAAAAAGCCAGAAGTACAGCTGTAGCTCAAATGAGGGCCAGTTCCAGGTAGCTACCCACTGCCTTTGCTCCAACCTGGCATAGGCCCAGCACAAACTGATATTTGGTAGTAAGAAACTAAACGAGTGAACTTTACAAGGGTCTTGCCTCCTGCCATCCTTTCTTGTCCAAGCCCTTTCTGGCTGACATTTAATTCTCTCATCCTGGGAAAATAAGTATAAGATGAGCCATATAAACCAATTGTAAGTGTACACTTCAGTGGCTTTAAGTACTTTCACATTTCAGGCAACCTCACTGATACCAACCCCTAGAACTTTCTCGATACCCCAAACTGAAATTGGGAACCAATTTATTAGCAGCACCCATCCATCCCTTTCCCCAGCCTCTTGAAGCCCACAATTCTACTTCCTGAGGTTGTTGACATGAGAGCATTGCATTTCAAAGCCAGCCTGGGCAGGTGAGTCTGAGACTCTTATCAGCAATTAACAGGAAAAAAAAATCAAAACAGAAAACACAAGTAGAGATGTGGCTCACATGGTAGAGCACCAATTGTGAGCAAAAAAAGACAAAACAATAAAAAATATGAATGGGGCTGGGGATTTAGCTTGGGGATGAGCACTTGCCTGGCAAGTACAAGGCCGAGTTCCATCCTCATCTCTGAAAATAGCAATGACAACTATGCACAGAGACCTATTCATGCCTGGAGGTAAGATTTAATGATAATCACTACCTCATCCTTCTTTAAAAATATCAGGTGGGTGCTGCTGGCTCACACTCAGGATGCTGATCTCTGCAGATCACAGTTCGAAGCCTGCCTGGGCAGAAACTCCATCAGACCCTTCAGTAAATTATTCAGAAAAAGCAGAAAATGGTGCTGTGGCTCAAGTAGTAGCCTTGAGAAAAAGAAACTCAGGGATACGTCCCAGGTCCTGAGTTCGAGCCCCAGGACCAACAACAAAAACAAGACTATGAGGTCCTGAGTTCAAGCAACCGCATGCACATGTGCATGCATGCACGTTCTCACGTACACACACACGTGTACACACACACACACACACACACACACACACACACACACACACACACACAAAGTCTCCAAGTCTCTGGGGCTGCCTCCAGGCAGTCCCGCTAAGCTAGGTGCTGGCGGCTCACATTTGTCATCCTAGCTATTCAGAAGATTGACATCTGAGAATCTGTTTCAATCAGTCCAGGCAGGAAAGTTCATGTGACTCATTTCCAATGAGCCACCAAAAACCTGGAATTAGAGCTGTAGCTCAAGTGATACAACTCTGAACACATAAGCTCAGGAATATTACCCAGGCCATGATTACAAGCCCCAGGACTGCCACCAAAAAGTACAAAAAGACCCACTAGCTAGTAAGCAAGAGAGCACACACTGTATTCACTCCTACACCATGCTCCCCCTGGCTCATACAGGTCTAAAAGAAAATGTTTGTTTGTGCCAGGGCTAGAGCTTGAACTCTGGGTCTGTGTGCTGTCTCTTAACCTTTTCCCTCTAGGCTGATGCTTTACCACTTGAGCCACAGCTCCACTTCCAAGGGAAAGAAAGTTAAGTGAAAGAAACAAAAAAGAAGAGGTCAAAAGGCTGTACATGCCCAATAATGAGATAGCCTTGGGCACAATTCCAGAAATCTAGCTGGTGATGGGGATCTCAAACAAGTTCAAGCCCCAGGACTCCAGTTTCCTTATGGGTTCCTGGGATGACAGTCCTACCTGGGCCTACAACCGCCAACCACAGTATAGTTCTCTAAAAGTCCCCAGGAGAGTAACTGTGTGTTTTAGTTGTTTTGCTTTATTTTGGGGACTGGTCCTAGGGCTTGAATTCAGCCTGCCTGCTGTCCCTGAGCTTTCATGCTCAAGTTTAGTGCCCTACCACTTGAGCCACAGATACACTTTGTTGTTTTTGGGTGGTTAAATGTAGAAAAGAGTTTCATAGACATTCCTGCCCAGGCTGGCTTCGAATCATGAGCTCTGTTCTCAGAATCCTAAGTAGCTAGGATTACAGGCGTGACATCCTGATGCCCACCTAATTAACAATATTCTTTATTAACCAGAGGTCCAGTAATCCATAAGGCCATGACTGAAACATGGGCTAGTAAGAGACCCCAGGCTCTCACCCAGGATCCATCACTCTGGAGTGGGGGGTGAGCTTCCTGAGGAGCTCCTGAATCTTGCCAGCTGCCAGTTCCAATCCTCCAGCATATGGCCAGACCTGATAATCGACTCTGGGTGAGGAGAGCTTAACCCTGCCTGCAGACCCTGGGCTAGTTAGTAGCCTTGGCTACCAGCTGTTCTCCAGTGCTCACCTGAAGTTGAGAAAGAGGAGAAGTCTCAAAGAGGGATCTGGGCTCAGTGACTCACCTCCTTTCCCCATTCCATTGTGGTTGTTGTAGAAACAAGAGTCTCACTCAAGTCTTTCTCTTTCTGACTCTGACACAGGTATGAGATGCAGAAGGTCAGGCATATGCAAAATACAGAAGACACACAATTCAAACATAGTCAGGGACAGCTGCTACAGGACATACTTCCAGCTGCCAAGTTCATCTCAAGTTATTGACTAAAGCATTTGCTAAGCTCCAACTGATTAGCCCTGTGCCAAAGAGCCCTCTGTGTTCAAGATACCAGAATGGCCAGAGAGCAGCTTGACACCGAGGAGAAAGGAAAACCATCAACCTCAAAAAGTCAGCCTCTTCACTTGAGGCCAGCCAACAGTCAGTCAAGTCAGACCCAGATACACGAATTACCCACTTCTTATGGAAACAGAAAAATCTTGTAAGCAAGTCTGAAATGTCCCACTACATGAAGCAATTCAAACATGCATAGAGTCGCCAGGAGATTAGAGTGATGTGACTGAGCAGGAAAATGCTAGTCAAAGCCATGTGTCAGTGGCACATAACACATGTTATCCTACTGCTCGAGAGACTGAGATCTGAGAATCCTAGTTCTAAGCCAGCCCTGGCAGTAAAGTCTGTAAGACTCTTATCTCCAATGAACCGCCAAAAAGCCAGAAGTGGAGCTGTGGATCAGGTGGTAGAGCACTGGCCATGAGTTTAAAAAAACTAAAGGATAGCACCCAGGCCCTGAGTTCAAAACCCAGGTTCTAAACACATGTGTGCACATGCACGCACGCGCACACACATATACACACACACACACACACACACACACACACACACACCAAGACAAAAATACTAATTTAGTCCAAATGCATATACACAGGCGAAGGTACATGAATAACTTTCAAAGAGGCAGACACAAATATGATCACAGTTTGGAATGCAAAATATACCACATCCCATCAGTTCAGAGAAGGGAGGTATGTGGCATTCCACCCTCAGGGAACTGCACTCTGGGACATTCTGAGGGATCCCTACACCAGGACACCTCTGTACTCCTGGAGAGTCAAATGTGGCAAATTCTTCAAGAACCAGAAATTCACCTTTTACCCCATCCAAGGGACCTGAAGCTCCAAAAGAATCTTTGCAGTCACTCCCCAAGGAATCCACAGGACCTGAGAAAGAAATGGGATGGGGGAAAGCCCACTAGGGAGAGGGGAGCAGGAAGGCCTAGAGGTCCCTGTGCAAATGGTAAAATGCGAAAGAGACTGACCTGAGCAGACGCACCATGATCAACAGGTGGGGGTGAGGGAGGGCAGCAGAGATGATGAGGGAACCAGTCCTAAAGAAGGCATTACACCCTGGGATACAGGCAGATGCAAACAGGGTACTTCCCAGAAAGAGAACCCTGGACGAGGTTAGGGGACAGGAGAGGGCAACAGGAAGGAGGACTGAGTGTAATGTACGGAAATTAGAAATAAGAGTCACAGACTGGACACGAAGGGCCCTGGCTTCTAATTCTGTCTCTATGGAATGGGCAAATCCCTGTCCCCAGAGCCTCAATTTACCTCACACTGGGGGCGGTGGGCGGTGGGGGGGGGGGGGGAGTGATGGGAAGAAGCGCAGACTTTTTCTGGTGCTGCTTCTGAGGACACCGACAGGGGATGGAGAAGGAGCCGCAGACCAGCGTTTGAGGAAGAGGGGCACAGCATTCCCGGCCCCAAAGCACCGAGGCACTCACCTGCGGGGAGCAGCGCCTTTCCTGACTCCCCTTTCCTGACTCTCTGGCTGCAGCGGGCCTTACAGAGCCCACAGCCCCACGTAGGGCAGGAAGAGCAGGACCGCCAGTACCAGAGCCGCCTGCAGAAGCCCCTTCTCCTCCCCGCAGCCCTGCACCAAGTCAGGCACCCAGCCGAAGTGGCGCCGCCTGGCTCCAACTCCCAAGCCTTGCAGCTCGGAGCCGGACGATGCCACTGAGTCATTCACAGGTGCAGGGGGAAGTCGCCGCAGCCAACGTCAGTGTTGGGCATTGTGGAGCCACCAGACCCGCGATTTCGGATACCCCCACTCGCGAGCTGCAATGGTACTTCCTGCTCCTCCATGACTCCCCCGCCCACAGGACGGTGAGAAGGGGGCAGAGTTGGGTTGTTGGGCACTAATTGGTAAGCGGATCGCTGGAGATCATGGTCCATTTTGGAAGGGTTAGAGTGCTCTCCAGGATCCGGTCCCGGCCCCCTCTGCTGCTATGAGCTATGGTCCGGGAGCCGAGCTCCTTGGACTTTGCAGATAGTGCTGGAGCTTGGCTATCACTGCCCAGCCCCCTCTGGTCTTGAGCTGGGCCTGAGGACACCAAGACCTGCTTTGACCCTGGGCTGTCAGTGTCTGTTGGCAGTCTTCCCACCTCAGGCCCTCAGCCTCTCCAACTACCTTTCCACCTGCACTGGCCACCTTATTCATTCTCCATTCGAAGTTGAACTTTTTTGGCTCCAGGCTGATGTTCTGCGGTTGAGTACTTGCTGATGATGTGCAGGGAGCGAGACAATCCATCGAGGCACAGACGGTGAAAGGTGGACAAAAGAAGTTTACACTATTTACACCAGAAAGGGGGTCGGTCCTGAGACTATCTTGCCCTGGGCTAGATACCCAGAACCAAGAGCAGCCTCAGCCAGCAAACCTCCAAGCCTCCAATGGGCAGTCCTGACCCCCTGACCTTTACTAGTTGGTCTGCAAACCTCCAGCCCCGGTCCTCCGAAGCTCTGAAGCTCGGGAGGGGAAGGCTTTTCCCTTTCTTACCTTCCTCCCCGACATGCAGGCCTCTCCACTGTCCACAGCCTGCCCTGCTCTGCTCGGGGGGCGCCTCTCCACAGGCCTCTCTCGAGGAAGGTCCCGGATGACCTCCCAAGAAGTCCCAAATGGCCTCTCGAGGCTTGCCCGGCTCTGCCGTCTCTCCCTCCTCTCCTGCTCCTCTCCTCCCTCCACGGTAACTAACTCACTAGCCTCCCTCTAACCTCTCCCTCAGGACCCTGGTCTCCTCTCGCCTGTTTTCCCCAGGGCTGCTCCCGGTTTCCTCCGGCCTCCTCTCTCCTCAGGAGTCTCCTGGGTTTTCCCTTACTCCCCTAACCGCTCCTCGGGCCCCTGGTTTTTCTCCTGCTTCCCCCAGGCCTTGGAGCCCGCAGCCTATATATATACCCAGATAGGCTACGCCCCTCCCCCACTAACGGTTTCAAACCGCCATTCAAGCTCCTCCCCCAAGCTGCCCCCTCTCCAATCCCAACCGGCAGCTCACCATGTAGGACTCAACGCACCACACCACCCCCTCCAATAGCACATCCACCCCTTTTTGAAGGCATGCCCCACCCGTTCCGGTGACATGTCCCGCCCCTTTCCGAGGCATGGCACGGGGGCCCTGTGGGGGGTGATGTCAGCCTCTCAAAGCGCTGCTCTCTCAGGTGGCCCAGTCTGTGGAGCTGTGAGGCTCATCGTCCCCTCCATGAGGCCCCATGGGTAATTACAGAGTCCCTCCTCTTCTTCTGGCTTTTGGGTAGTTAATTGGAGATAAAAGTCTCAGAGACTTTTCTGCCTAGGCTGGCTTCAAGCCTCCATCCTCAGTTCTCAACCCTCTGAGTAGCTAATATTGTGTGAGCCATGGGTACCCAGCAAATTTGACTATTTTCTCATATCTCATGGATGTGTAAACAAAGTATAATTTTTATATCTGGTTTATTTCACTTACTATATTTTAAGGATTCACTCATGTTGTAACATGGGTCAGAATGTCATTCCCTTTTTGAGACTGAATGGTATTGCATTGGATGGATACACCACATTTTGTTTATTCAGCCATGGCCATTTAGGTTGTTTATACCTTTTCACTACTATGAATAATGTCATGAATAATAATACTTTTATATTGAGCAGAGTGCTGTAACAGAGCAACCAGAGGCATCCTTTCATAAGAAACCCAGATAAACTGTGGGAACTCACCTGTGGCTTTTCCTCACATTAACAATCCATGAGAATCCTTACAGCCTGTGAGGCCATATGATGTGACTGATTTACTCCTTTTGCTTTTCTCCTAATTATGCTGATCTTAATATTTTCCTAAATAAACAAATAAATATCCAACAAGTTGACAAATAGGAAGGGCCTTTGCAAATTTGCCCTGCTCTTCTCTAGAAACTTCTTCCTCTAAACCTTTGTATGGACTTGGATGCTTAATGGCTCCTGCCTGTAATCCTAGCTACTCAGGAGGTTCACATCTGAGGATTCCTGTTCAAAGCCAGCTTGGGCAGACAGAGCTTAAAGACATGTATCTTTAATAAACTAGCAAAATCTTGAAATAAAGGATTGGCTTAGGGGGTAGAGGATCTGACTTGCAGGAAAAGCCAAGCAAGGGCATGAGACCTGGAGTTCAAGCCCTGGTACTGGTACACGTGTACACACACACATAAAAATAAACTTTGTGTGGTTCCCTACATCTTCTCAGGAACTAGATAAGAAGTTCTGCCTCAGCAAGCCCTTCCCTGGCCAGCTGGTTTAAAATATTCACTCCCTCTCTAGTTCCTTGATTTCTCCTCAGAGAAGATCTTATTTTGGGCCTCCCTCTGTAGGATGTGAGCTCCAACCTCATACTCTATAGCACCCTTATCTTTAGCAGTACCTACTTCCCTTTATTGAGAATCAGAAAACTGGAGCTCCTTCTGGACAGAGGAGTTTGCAAAAAGGAGCCTCTTCCCTGGGCCAAGTAGCCCAAGTGGAGCTAAGAACTGAGGATTTTAGCTCATACATATCTCAACCATGGGAAGGTAAACTGAGAATCTTCCCAGGCTAGGCACATTGTAACTATTGTATTCAGTAATTACTGCATGAGCAAAGTATAGCAATCAAAGTCATAATAGGAAGGAAACTATTTGCAGTCCCTTCCCTTCCCATCTCCTCTTCGAACTCCCTAGAGGACTCAAAAGGAAATTAGATTTGAGGTGTGTTTTCTTTTGTTTTAGTCTTCCCAGAGTCACTTGTTGATCAAAGCTGCACACCAATCCAGGCTCCCCCCAATAGGGAATCTATCCTAGCTTTAATCTCAGGCCTCTTTCATCACTTTTGCAATATATGATGCACCCAGCAAGGGAAGGGGCTTCTGGAACCTTATCCTCTTCCCAGAGACAAGACTACTTGCAGGGGAAAAACAGACCTGATAATTGACTGAAAGTGAAACCAGAACTGCTACTGAGCCCTCCTATTGAGGCAGTCACAGGCATTGAGATAATATGTAATATATGTAATACATATTATATAATATATAATAAAGTGTTGCCTGGCTGTGGTAGCTCACACATGTAACCCTATACTCAGGAAGATGAAGTCTGAGGACTGGGGCTTGAACTCAGGGGCTAGGCCCTGTCCTTGAGCTCAACACTAGTGCTCTACCACTTGAGTTACAGCACCACTTCCAGCTTTATCTGAGTAGTTTATTGAAGATGAAAGTCTCATGGACTTTCCTGCCTGGGCTGGCTTTGAAAAAGACACCCAACACAGATGACTCACACCTGTAATCCTAGCTAATTAGGAGGCTGAGATCTGAGGATCATGGCTCAAAGCCAACCAGGGCAGGAATGTTCCTGAGACTCTTATCTCCAATTAACCACTCAAAACCCAGAGGTGGCACTGTTGCTTAAGTGGCGGAGCTCTAGCCTTGAATAAAAAGAGGCTCAGGGACAGTGCCTGGGCCCTGAATTCAAGCCCTACAACGCACAAAAATAAGTAAATAAAATAAATAATAAATAAAAGGAGAAGAACTTCCCTTCAAAAGTGAGATATGAGATGATTACCAATGGCTGGGCCCTGTCGTCCTAGCTACTCATGATGCTGAATTCTGCCTGGCTAGGCAGAAAATCAATGAGATGTCATCTCCTGTAACCTGCAAAATGTCAAACTGGAGGTGTGGTTCAAATGAGAGAGCAAGAGAAAAAAAAGCAAGTATTCCAAGCAAAGCTGGACACTGGTGGCTCATGCCTGTAATCCTACCTACTCAGAAGGCTGAGATTGCAGGATCATGGTTCAAAGCCTGTCTGGACATAAAAGACCAGGAGAATTTTATCTCCAATTACTATCAAAAAAGAAAAGAAGAAGAAGAAGAGGAAGAGGAAGAAAAGGAAGAAGAAGAAGAAAAGGAATAAGAAGAAGAAGAGAAAATAAAGCCAACTTGAGTGGCAGAATTCTGGCCCTGAATAAAAAAAAAAGTTCAGGGTTGACATCTATGCCCTGAGATCAAGTACTATAACCAGCCCCCTCAATCCTCCCAAAAAGAAAAAGATAGTCAAACAAGAACATAAAGTCACAAATTCAATCCCTAGCATCCTTCCCTATACACACACAAAGAATGAAATAAAAGCAATGAAGAGGGTAAACATAAGTAAGCTGGTAAATATAAATAAGACTTTGTGGTTTTAAAGCCAGAAATACAAGTGATAACTAGTTACAGATTTTTAAAAGAGAAGTTCTAGGTTTCAAACAGAATCTCTAGTTTCAAACTAGATCCCTCTTGCTAGGCAGGGGATCTAGCACTTGAAGCCCCTCCCCTAGCCCTTGCCCTTCATCAATTTGTACATAACCCACAGCCTCTGGATTGCAAAGTAATTGATGAGGACCTGTTAGGAAATGATGTTTTCTTTTACTTGGTGATGGTAGTAACTGCTGGTAACTCCTAGTGGGAGTGGAAATTGACCAGAAATTGCTCATATTTCCACCACCAAGTGAAGTGGGAGAGAATGGAGAGAGGCCCTGTGACCCAGTGAATCCAGTGCCGGGAACCCTGAATAAAAGGAAAGAAAGGCACAAGCAAATGATGGAAATCCACAGAAGGCAGAGGAAAGCAGCCTGCACCTGGTTTCACCTCCTGACTCCCACTCCCCTCATCTCCCTGGTTTAATCCTTCTTGGACATATTTGTCACAATGTATCCTACTTAGCAATACCTCCTATGCCTCAGCTTTAGGTTTGAAGCTTCTCCTTCTCAGGGTTTGTTCTTTTGTGATTTCATCTTTTTTCTTGTAGCCTTTTAATTTAAAATCATTTCTTCAAATTATATACCAAAGGTTTTGAGTTGTTTTGTTTCATTTTGTCATTTTTTAAATAATATAATTTGGCACCAAACATGAAGAACCAGGGTGTTTTTAAACCTAGAGGCCATTCTG